TCTGGACGCGCAGCACGTGCAGCGCGCGGTCGATCTCGCCCCACAGGCCCACCGGGTCGTCGAGCGACTTGCCAAGCGCGCGCGGCGCCACGATGTCGGCGAACAGCAGCGCGCGATGCTCGGCGGCGGCGTTGGGGAAATTGCACCAGATCTCGCCCCAGCCGCGCGCGCCGTCGGAATCCTCGACCCGCACGAACACCGCGACCCGCTCGGTCATGATGCCGAAGGAGGTGCGGACAGGCTCCTTGATCGGCGTGCGGAAGACGTGGGCTTCGACGCGCGCGAGGGTCGCTGCGCTCATTCGGCGGCTTGCGGCTGCGAATTCAGCACGTCGTAGTTCCGCTTCAGGTACCAGGTCATGTAGTCGCTGTACCAGGTCGTGGGATACTTCGGCGGCCTGTCGGGACCCACCGGTTGGTCGGCACCGGCGGCGACCGGCCAGTCGATGCCGCTGTCGCAGAAGAAGGGCAGGGCATAGCGCGCGCCCGCCGGTCTTGTTGATGGCGCGGTGCGGCGTCGCGAGGAACGTGTCGTTGGTGTAGCGCTGCAGCATCTGGCCGCCGTTCACGACATAGGCGTTGTCGATCGCGGGCATGTCGATCCAGGTCCCGCTCTGGCTGCGGATCGAGAGGCCCTGCACCTCGTTGGGCGCCAGCAGGGTGAGGAAGCTGGTGTCGGTGTGCGGCGCCAGGCCGAACTCGTCGTCGACCGGGTCCGTCCTGCGGCGGATAGTGCGTCATGCGCATCGAGAACATCGGCTCGGAGAAGGCGGTGTCGAAATAGTTGGCCGGCAGGTCGAGCGCGCGGGCGTAGAGCCGCACCATCTTCTGGACCAGCCGCTCCATCTCGTTGCAGTAATCGACGACGGTGTCGCGAAAGCCCGGCAGGTCGGGCCAGCGGTTGAGGCCGCGGAAGCGGCGGCCCGACAGCACGTCGGGATGGTCCGGCGCCATCTCCCGCTTCACGAAGAAAGCCTCGTTCAGGTTGGCCTTGGTCCCGGTCTGGACGGTCGAGGTGCGCAGCGTGTTGCCGCGCATCGGGAGATAGCCGGTATTGTGCTCGTCGAGCTTCAGTTCGAGCTTCCTCTCGACCGGCTGATCGTGG